ACTTCCAACCTAGGGGGCTCATCTTCTAGCACTGTATGGGACAAGATTCTGTTGTGATCCATAGGGTTTTCATTGGCTAATTTTCAGAAGTACATTGTCAGGCCTTTCTTCCTAGTCTGTCTTAGTCTGGAAGCTCTGCTGAAACCTGTCCACCATGGTTGACCCGGCTAGTATTTGAAATACCAGTGCCATAGCTTTCAGTGTCATAGCAATACACAAGCCACCACAGTACAACAGAGTGACAGATGGGTGGTGAAGGATTATGCTGGTTATAGTATATTATACATTGTTTGGTTTAAAAAATCTGAAAAATACAAAAAGATTTCTAAAGAGTAAAATAAAAAACCACAGAGATAAATATTAATAGTATTCTGATTTACGCGTTTATAAATGTTTATGTTTGTGTTAATGCAAAACTGATATTAAACTATACAGACAATTATAATCTGCTTTTTTCACTGAAATATTATGGACACCTTGCCATATCAAAAAAATAGAGATCTACATCATAGTTGTCATAAATTCACTCAATCTTGAGCATCTCGATTACAGCTCCCTGTTTATTTCCTGCATGACACAAATTAAAAAAAAAAAAAAAAAACCTCATTCAGGTATTTATTTGTGTATCTGTTTGTTGTCTTTCTTCCTCCTGAGAATGTAAACTTCATTAGGATATGGACATGACTGTCTTTTTCACCAGTAGGTCTATCCCTGAAACCAAGCACATTGCCTGACGCAGAGAGGTGCTGTATTAGTTTTCTGTTGCTACATAGGAGCCCTGGGGGCACAGTGGTTAAGAGCAGGCTGCTAACCAAAAAGTCAGTAGCTCGAATCCACCAGCCACTCCTTGGAAACCCTGCTGGGCATTTCTACTCTGTCCTGTGGGGTTGCTATGAGTCAGAATCGACTGGGTGGCAACAGGTTTGCTTTTGGTTTTTTTTATTGCTGCATAACACATTACCACAAATTTAGTGGCTTAAAACAACACCCACTTACTGTCTCACAGTTCTGTAGGTTAGAAGTCCAGGTGAGCCGGACTGGGTGAGTTTCCACGCTCATTAAGTTTGTTGGCAGAACTCAGTTCCATGCAGTTGTAGGACGAAGGCTCCTGTTTACTTGCTGGCTGTCAGCTTGGGGTCTTTCTCAGATCCTGAAGGACGCTCTCAGGTCCTTGCCCCGTTGCCCCTCCATCTCAGCACAGCGAATCGCATTCATGCTTGGAATTTCCCTGACTTTCTCTTCTGCTACCACCAGGAGAAAGCACTCTGCATTTAAAGGGCTCCTGTGATTAAATTAAGCCCACTCAAATAATCTCGCTTTCCATTAAGTCAAACTCAACTGATTAGTAATCTTAATTACATCTGCAAAGAATCCTTTTTGCCATATAATGCAATATAATCGTGGGCATGATATAGTCACGGGAAATCTCAGTTGAGATTTTAGGATTCTGCCTACCATAGGTGCTCTGTAATATTGGTGGAATGGATGATCAAATCAGTCTTTTCCAGGAATTGTACAAGGCACAGAGAATGCTAAGTGAGCAAGACTTCCTGTTTTCTGCTCTCAAATAACTTGTAGTCTAGGCCCGGGCTATCCAATAGAAATATAATGATTTTGAATTTTGTAGTAGCCACATTAAAAAAGTAATAACAGGTTAAATTATAATGATCTATTCTGTTTTATCTAATATGTCAAAAATATCATTTCAACATGAAATCAATCTAAAAATTATTAGAGATATTTTACAATCTCTTTATTAATTACTAAATCTTCAAAATCCAGTGTATATGTTACCCTTAGGAAACATCTCTATTTGAACTAGCTGCCTTTCAAGTGCTCAGTAGCCCCATGTGGCCAGTGGCCACCATATTGGACAGCACAGATCTAGACAAGTCACCAGAAGGGGACCATGCAGTGTGTATGACATTTCCCGTGCTACAACCCAGCCCTGGGAAGGTCAGGAAAGGCTCCCTGGGAGGAAGTGACATCTAAGCTGAGACTGAAGAATAAGTAAGAATCAGTCAGGTCAAGATTTGGTGTAAATGCATGTTAGACAGGAAGATGAGTTTGTGAGATGAGAAAAGAAAGCTTTAGAGCAGCGGAAGGAAGTTCAGCATAGGTGGAATATGAAGAGTTGAGAGTCAGAGGTCAGAGTAAAGCTGGAGAGAAGAGCCAGATGGGGCCTTGTCAGCCATGGCCAGGAGTCTGTCCTCCATCCTGGTGGTAATAGGAAGCCAGTGAAGGGTTTTGAACAGGGGGCGCCCGCTGAAGTAGATGTCCTTGTTTGAAAAGGCACCGTTGACTGCACTGTGAGAAAGTGGAGCTGGGTGCTGTTAGAGAGAATGCATGGAACCAGGTTTGGGGAGAAAGTGGAGCTGGGTGCTGTTAGA